CCCCAAAACCCCAAAACCCCAAAACCCCAAAACCCCAAAACCCCAAAACCCCAAATTGGGTTTAAAATATTGAAATATTTTACACACAGGGAGTATTTTTGAATCCAAACAAGTTTGGGTCCTGATTTATTTCTTTAAGCAAACGTTCGAATTTAGCCTAGAAAGAAGAGTCATACACAATTTTATCTAAGAAAGTCATAAAATCGAATAGATTAAGAAGGATCTTCTCGATCACTTACCCTCTCAGTCTTAGCTTTCTCAGAATCGCTCTCAGAAGTAAAAAGCTGGTTTATTTTAGGTTTCCGAAAATTCGTTTTCCTGATTATGAAATAATCTTTTACTAAAATTTTCGGCTTCTTCTCTCTATTCAAGGATTAAGGAGGACTCACATGCTATTTTAAATGACGGAAAGCAATAGGATTCAGTACAGTGTTCTTTTTCATTTGCCTACAGGTTAAATCTCTCATACAGTTGTAACTCATTATCTATCTTATTGCTCCTATGTTTGACAGTGTGTGAAGAAAGAATACTTCTTGGGATCTGAATGGGCTTAGAGCTCTCAAGCATTGATTTTATATGATCCCTAACATCATCAACTTGGGATAATTTCCTTAGAAGAGGAAGAAGTTTCAGTAGTTCTTTATCATTTATATCACTATACCATGATTTTATAGGTATCGCATTGGCTTTATTGAGCATGTAAGCAACCGGAGTATTATCGATGATTATAACATCCTTAAGACTCCTACCCAGTCTACTAAGGTCCTTAATATAGTGCTTAAGTCTGTTTAATTTACAATGCTTTCGACTCAAATATTGGAATCCAATGTTATCCTTGTCTAGTTTATTTTACTATTTCTCAAGCATATTCTTCTGTAGAGGCGGTGAAGAATACCACTTCATAAATCTCACTTCATTTTTGGATAAATCTACATTATTATGAAAAGAATTATTGCACCAACGGATTAGGAGAAATAAAGACATACTTGAAAGCACCTGGGCGGATTTTTACAAAGACATTCTTAGGTTTTCAGTCGAATTCAGAAGGAATGGAGACTACCATATCTGCATCGGGGACTAAAGTGAATGAAGAATGGATCAGAGTCTCATCAAGATCCAGTACAAGTGTTTTCTTTCCTAAATTTTCTTCACTTTGGGAATCTATATCATTCCAGTCAAACCATGTTAGGTTAAAATTCCCAAAAGTGTAACATGAACAAAAAGGTTCAAAATTTACCTAAAAGGTGGATCTTAGCCGGCTGAAAAATGGTGTTATTTCCTTTAAGAAACTTTGAATGGAGCATTGGAGAAAGGCGTTTCTCTGTATTCAACGTTTTGAGGTTCCTTCTCGAAAGGCTTCCTAAAAATTAACTACCGATTCACTTGAGCTACTCTTGTTTCCTCTGCTGTAATAAGTCTGCTGCATTTTTTATAAAATTATTTTCAAGTTTGCTAAAAATAGAGGGGTTTTGGGGTTTTGGGGTTTTGGGG